AAATTCCTAAGAATAATTGATTTTCAAATCTGTTCTACTGATATTGAATACACATTATCATATCACACATTATGTTCATGGTATCACTATTTTATTCCCTTGGTTAGAACCGTATTTAATATCCGTTCATTATTCAATGGTTTTTTAACTCCATTCCAATTATTAACAATTTTCAATGAGCAATTGAACATTAGTAAAGGACTTCTGGCGGATTAGGGAATGACTATGTTCTCAACCTCCTCAGGATGTCCATGCATTCAAATTGTATAATTGTTAAATGAACTGATACTTTAATTCCTGTAATTTCAATTTAAAAAATTTGAACTTTATACTTTTAATTTGTTACCATATGTCCTTCTATTATGCGTCGTTAACATTTTGAACCAAAAAAAATCACGTGCAAAAAAGTATTCTTTATGATTTTTTTTTTCGAATTTCACTTTATCTCTTAGTTCTATACGTGACACTTTTTCATTAAAAATTCTGATGACAAATGACAAAAGAATCACATTGTAATAAAATTAAAATTATAGAATTAAAATTATTCAATTAAAACTATGTAGTATCAAACTAAAATTTAGCTCAAATTAAAAGTTCCAGCAATATAATACAAAATTTTCAACTTGTAACTGAAAATTAACAATTAATGACGTTTTTTAATAGTAATTGATGAAAAATACCATAATTATCATATGACCTATTAAACAATAAGTCGACCTATTAAACAATAAGTCCATCTATTAAGACCTATATGTAAATTTTCTAAAAATATATATATATATATATATATCAATAAAGAAATTTAAATGAAACTCAACCCCAACCCAAGTTCTGGATCTAATTCTCAGGAGTGAATTTTACCATCTCTTCTGTACTAGAAATCAAGTTTATGAATCCCATGCATTTCATTAAATTTCTTTCCTATGCATATATACATATTGACTTGCTATACTTGCCATATTATGAAGCATTAAGGCTGTAATTTAACTTACTAAGGAAATCAGAACTATTTGTTAGTAATTTAAAGGAGGTTGGCTAAAAAAGATGAAATATGAAGCATAATGACAAGAACCTTGGGCAGTCCTCAGTGTGCTTTTCATCTGTTATGCACTCATATGCTGGAGTGCAGTGGGATAGTGGTCTTAAGTGTGCCTCTGTTCAGTTGTTCATCTGCTAGTAATCAGGAGTGATGCATCAGAAATGGAATGTTGCTCTGTTTGGGGGCTGAGAAGTGATGTATTACCTCATGGCACTGTCCTAAGGCAGCATACAATAGCTGTTGAATGACTCTAGTGTTGCTAAGAGTTTGCAGCTCTGTTGTTGGATGCATAAAGTCTGTTCTGTGGGTTGTTCTTGGGCTTTGAAGCCCAGGAGCTCTGCTGTGGTGTTATTGGGTGTTGGTTGCTATGCGTAGGTTGTGGCTATGGGGTCTTTTTGGCTGCAGTGCATTTCTGATGTTGGCCTATGGTTTGGTCTGTTATTGGTCTGTTTGGTTTTCTTTTTGTTGTTCTCTTCTGTGTTTCTCTTCTTTTCTTGGTTTGGTTCCTCACCAAACTCCTTGGGTGAGCTAGCTTGTTGCTTTTCCCCTCCTTTTTTGATGTAATCTCTGGTTTTGTTAGTTTTGCATCAATAAAGGTTCTCTTTTGCTGATCAAAAAAAAAAAAAATATTGACAAGAACTTTGGCACAGTAAGTAAGTCTATATTTATAATAATCATGAGAACTTTAACATAACAACGCAAAGGATACAATTATTTATAGTATTAAGGGGACGCAGGTAGCAGACTATCACATGACTTATAAATCTTACCATATTTACCTGAACATAAACATAGAGTCTTGTCCAGACATTGCCCTGTTTGGTACAGCTTAATTTCAGCTTATTTCAGCTTTCAGCTTAATTAAGCTATTTTGATGTGGAATTCAGTAAATATGGTAAGATTTCACCACGAATTTGGTTTTGGATAAATCAAGAGATTCCAAAGACACCATATCACCCATCTTCTTTGGAATCACACCAATCAAATGATTTCCAGATAGATTCAATGAAAGCAGTCCTAGTAGACCAGTCAATTCCTCAGGGATGTTGCCAGATAAATTGTTGTTTGAAAGGTCTACGCTAGCCACAAGAGTAAGAATCTTGTCATATTGATAGTTACTTCCTTTTTGTCACCAAATTTGCGTTCTCCAAGTAAATAGATATTGTTGATTCCATAGTGCGCCGAATCTATTATAGATATTGCATGATGCAACCTCCTCCTCCTCCTCCTCTATGCATAAAATCACTGGAGTTTGGCTTCATTGCCATGGCAGTGATATTGTTGATGCACCATGGCATTGCACCTGACAAATTGTTGTTCGAAAGATCCAAGATTTTAAGTGAGGAGATACGACAAAGTTCTAGAGGTATCATGCCATCTAACTTATTTGACCGGAGGATGAGAACGATCAAATGCAAAAGCCTTTCTCCCATCCATGTCGGTATGCTTCCAATAAACTCATTCTCACTGAGATCAACCATTACTAAATTGTTGCAGTTTTGAAGAGATGAAGAAATTTCTCCAGAGAGATGGTTGTTTCGCAGGTGTAATGATTGCAGACTGCCTAAATGCCCCATGGAGCTTGGGATGTTTCCCGTCAGATTGTTGTTTCCCATATCTATGACTCTCATTGATGTCCAAGCCATCCAACAATCAGGAATTTCTCCGGATAAAAAGTTTTCTTTTAGAACAAGAATTAATAGAAGATTTTCTTCTTTATTCCCATTACATAGCAAGTGGGAGATCTCCCCAGAAAATAATTTTTTGGAAAGATCAAGCTGAATCAAATTTGAAGAAAGACGAGGTAGTGTACCATTCAAATTATTGGAGCTTAAGAAAACCCTTCCAAGATCGTAAGGAATATATGAAATCTCACCGTAGAGTTGGTTGTGGGAGAGATTTAGATGGGTGGTCGAGGAAGATAAGTTCCAAAACCAAGTTGGAATCCTATCTGATATTCCAGTGCATGACAAGTCAATGAGCTGAAGTTGTTTTTGTGATTGGAGCCATATGGGAAACTTTGGACCCAAATGCCATGATCTAAGTTCCACTGCTAAAAGTTGAAAGGGAGGGATCCAGTCAGGACTCACTTTTAAAGTCAACCAATTGCCGGAAGCATGAAATTTCCACAGATTTGCAAGATTGGTGAAGTGAACTTCTGATACAGTGCCTTCCAACAAATTATTAGACACATCAACTCCTGATAGCTTTGAAAGGTGTCCAAGACTTTGAGGAAGAGTTCCATTTAATTGATTATCCTCCAATGACAATGTATTTAAGGAAGTCAATCTTCCCAGAGTTTCTGGAATGGGACCGGAAAGTTTGTTCCCATTCAGGAACATATCCTCCAAAGCATGTATTGCAATGCATTTAGACGAGCTAGTGAATAATTCTCCGCTAAATTTGTTATGTGACAAACCAATATGTCTCAAGTTGCAAAGATTTCCTAACGATCTTGGTAGACTTTCCTCAAGTCCATTATATGATAGCTCGAGAATTTCTAGAGAAGCTAGGTTTCCGATGGAATTCGGTAGCCTTCCCTCAAGTCCATTATATGATAGGTCAAGGCTGTATAGAGAAGCCAGGTTTCCGATGGAATTCGGTATCGGTAGCCTTCCTTCTAACCTGTTGGAGCCCAAGTTGAGGACCTCAAGACGACTAAAGCTATACAACCAACTGGGTATAGTAGAATTGAGAGAATTGCAAGATAGATCAAGATGAGACAGATTGGTCATGTTGGGCACAATTGTAGGAAATGGACCTTGAAATCCACACTGTTCAAGGCTAAGATAGACGAGGCTATTTGTAGTACTAAACAACGAATTTGGTAAAGAAGAGTTGAGATCATTATAAGAAACATCAAGCGTCTCGAGAGAAGTTAGGTTCCAAGAACCTTTTGGGATTGGACCTATCAAATTACAAGAGCTTAGATCAAGATAAACGAGGCTACCAAGGCTAAAGACCCACCCAGGTATTGGAGAGCAAAAGTTGTTCCAGGAAAGATCTAGGACCGCAAGAGATGTAAAATTAATAACACTGAGAAAAGGTGGAAAGTGATCAAGTCCACAATCAGCCAAGTGTAACTCTACCAAGAAAGGAAGGTTGTTAATTACCTGTAGCCAGTTGGGTACCTTGACAAGGTTCACACCACTTAGGTCCAGGTGTTTCAAACGGGAAAGACCAGCAAGCTACTGCAGGTTCTCAACGTTCATAATACGGAGGCCGAGCCACCACTGGGACGTACATCGGAGGCTGAGAGAACGTAAACTCGACAAGTTTCCAAGCTGATAGGGAATTGTTCCCACAAATCCTGCATTGGACAAGTTGATATATTGCAGTTGTGTCATAGAAGCAATGACTGGTGGGAATGGTATATTTGTGAAATTATTTTCACTCAGATCCAGGTACTTGAGGTGCTTCAATTTTTGCAAACAAGGATTTATTTTGCCATTCAAACTGAGCTTGTCATACCGTTGGTAAACACCATCGACGATACCATCAGTATAAGAATTTCGAAGGTTGAGTTCGAGGACATGGCCAGTGAAGTTGTCGCAAACAACACCTTTCCATTTACAACAATCATCTTTGACCTCCCAAGAAGAGAGTCCGTTTGTAGGATCTTCTAGATCTTTCTTGAATTGTAAAAGAGTTTGTTTCTCGCTCTCCCTGCACATCACCACCACATCATGGTTTCCATTGCAGAAACTAAAATCAATGGCTGCTATGGTGAGAAACCCAATTAGGAACATTGATCTATTCATAGTGAATGAATGGAATGATTGCTGTAAGTGGGAAGGAACAGTTGGCAAGTGTTTGTCTGCTTATAAGAAGAACATAGCAAATATGGCAAATAAAGGTCATGCAGACTTTTAACAGTTGGGAAGTGTATGCTGAATAAAATAGCAAATATGGCAATATATATATAAAAAAGATAAGTCCAATCCCGAAAATCACCGGTAATTAATTGTGTTCATTTTCTTTCCACTTTTGCAATATTTTCTATGGAATTTTCTTGGTTTGTCACTTGAGAATCCCGGATACTTCAAACCGGGAATTGATTTTAAAAATTTTATTTACATAAAAATTACTTAAAATATTATATATATATATAATTTTTCAAATTAAAATTTGCTTGTCTACCATCTTGATTTTGTCTTTTCTTGTTGGTATATATGATTATAAGGTTGATAAAAGAAGATGAGTAATGTTAGGAATTATAAAAAAAATATTATAAAATGTTTTATGAAATTTTTTTATCATTTAATTAGTGTGTGTTATTTTATTATATATATAATCTAAAGTTGAAGAATCTTCATGATCTATTTTATGATATTTTTTACGTGACCTCTAATATTACTCAAAGAAGATGTGATTACATATGTAATGAAAAATTAATATTGGGTAAATTACACTTTATTCCTTTTATGTTTGGCCAATTTTTTAGTTTAACCTTTGAAGTTTATTTATTCCCTTTGGCCTTCATATTTTAAGTTTTTTTTCCACTTTACTTCCGAAGATAATTTTTGTTAAAAATTAGAAAGAAAAAAAAAATTGACATGTTGACAATCACGTGATATAAAAATATTTTATTATATATGATTCACATATTTTACATAAACTTAAAATTGTTTTTAATGTTCTATGATAGTTATTATGATATTTTTTGTCTAATTTTGAACAGAAATTAGTTTTAGGAATAAGCTGGAAAAAACTTGAAACATGAAGAGCTAAGTAGCAAAAAATAAATTTTAAATCTCAAAGTGAGAAAGTGACCAAATATAAAGTAAGCAAAGTGTAATTTATCCTAAAAATTATCTAATCTTCTCACAAAACTGTGTCGTTATATAATCATATTTTTCAATAACTAAATTTATACTTGTTCATATCTGAAAAAAGAAAAATGAATCATTTTGTTTGGTTTGGAATTTTTAAAAATAATTTTTTGAGTTTTTATTTCATATTTTTATATTTCTAATAATTTTTTATAATATTTTTATTTTTATTTTTTTACTTTTTAGATCCGCTCGATATACTTAAAAGTATGAAATTTGTATATATATATTTTTAAATTTCATGGAATACAACAAAATATAAAAATGTATTAAATTTTCATATTTTTTGTATTTTTTGTATTTAGTAAATTTTTTTAAAAATAAAATCACAAATACTTTTTAAATGAATCTAAAAAAAAAAAAAAAACTCAATTTGTTAGAAAAAGTGATAACCAAACAAGATGAATGGTTCTTAAACAATCAATTTGTCATACTAGTTAATACAATAATCAGGTTATCATTGAATGATATCATGAATTGATAATAAAATCACATAGGAGATAATTAATCTTATATTTAAGAATGATAAATTAGTCAAACAAGTCAAATAATTAATTGTTTAAATTTGATTTAAAAATTTAAACGAGTTTTAAGATTTATTCAAACTTGTTTTGTTAACTTTCAATCCGAATTTGAGTAGTTTAGTATCCTCCTTTTATATAGTTTTAAACTTATTGAATTGAGTCAAACAATTGGCAGTTCAAAGTTAGTCTTAAAACTTTAACCAGCTCTCAAATGTGATCAAGATTAGCTTATTTACTCAATGAGTTGAGCGTGAATTAGTTTTTAATAAGGTGAACATGAGTCAAAACTAAAGTTATTTGATTCATTTATCACCCCAATGTGTAATGCTATGATACAAAGGGTATACCCTATGACATTTGTGGGTTTAACTGTCACAAATGTCATAACTGAATCTTTTACATTATAGTCATAAATAAAATATATATATATATATATATATATATTTTGAGTTATAACTAAATGTCACATATGGTATAACTAAATTTTTTGTAAATCATAACTAACATAATGTCACAACTAACATTACAATGTGTATAACTAAATACCACAAATACCATAACTGATGCATATAATAAAATTTCCCTCATGTGTAATCACCTATTCCATAATAATTTAATATTGATAGCAAATTCAACCAAAAACCAAAAATTTTCCCGAATAAACTCATTTAAAATCTCTTTAAATTTTTAATTGAATTGCATCTTACTAACCCAATTATATTTAGGTTTAAATGAATTAGATATAAATAATCACATTTAAAGTTGTTTACACGGTATCATCTCTTCCAATACCACCATCACCACACTACTAGCATCACCACCTCCACTCTACTACTACCACCATTCGACTGTCGCTGGAGGCAAGGCCCGCAGCCGAGACT